GGGGGGGGTTGCAAGATTGTCTAACGATTTTATTAAAAGGCAGAAAATTTTGTTTAATTGAATTCTACACGCGTGATCGAATTTCAGGTTTTTTTCCTCTATAGATTGACAGTATACGGGAGATAAAAGGGGATGCTGGGGATGCTGGGTATGTAGAGAATCTCGCAAGGACGAAATCTCGACGGAGTCGTAAAGATACAAAAGAATCTATCGGGAGTCGTGAGAAGTCTGCAAATATTGTTACGGATACTGAGAGAGGGGAAATCACGAAAAATGACGTGGGTCCAGAATCAACCGTAAATCTAGACAAGAAGAAGGAGGATACTGAAGATTCGAATGAACCGAAAGTCGTTGAATCCAATAGAGAGACGAAGCGCAAAGTTTCAGGTAAAAATTAAATAGTTGGAGAAATTAATGAATAATATCGATCGACCGATACGTTGTCTTTATCGTTATCTTTACGTCAGGATCAAGAGAAGCGAGAAAAGAATCGAAAGAAATGACGAAAAAGGATACGGAGAAACAAAAAAGCAGTGGCGAGATAAATAATAAATCCTGGCCAATTGGAGTCACATGGAAGCCTCGTGAATCCCAGAAGAGAAAGAAGGAGAGAGAGGAAAATGAAAAAAGGCTTTCGTTCGATGTAAAGTATTTTCCTGAATTACCGTAAGGCAGTAGGGACGTTTGAGGACGAGGGAAAAAGAAAAAAAGATCGTCGAACCGAACGACTGACTCATCGTTGAGCCGGATGATTCAACAGTAGGAAAAAAACACGGGAGTCAGAGTGACACTGTAAAAAATAAAAATAAAGTAAACTAGAAAATGTCCTCGTTCGAGCGAATATACACGCGTCTGTAAAGAAAAATTTTTTTTTTTTTTTTTCAAAAATTCGTTATCGACAAATATTCATTTTCAAAAGTACCCTGTATCTATTCAGAAAATTTCCATGCCAAAAACCAAAGAGGAGATGGAGCTGCTGACAAAATCAGTGCGACGCAACGCCACGATCTACAGGTCGCTCCACAAGCACTGGCTGGAGACTGGAAATCAGGTAAAGTAGAAGCTGGCTTTATTTAGGTTAGGTGGGGCTATGAAGGTCATTCATTGACGTTTTATTTCCGTCGTTAAACAGGCCCTCGGAGAGATGCTGGGAAGGGCTGTAATGCCCACGTCGAAGTTGCCTTTTTATTCCTACGAGGATGTACCCTACGACTTTCACCTGAAGGCCGACGTGGACATCGAGATTGGGGTCGATCACGACGACGAGGAAGTCTTATTGCCCGACGAGACACGTGAACGGGTAACAAAGAACTACGAGCATCTGTACTTCAATCTCCTGGAGAAGCCAGGAAAAGGTGGAAAGCCATGGTTCTGATTGAAGATTTATCAAATGCGATATAAATATAGGAAACAATAGTACAGTCCCTTAGGAAATCGTGTAGCAGACGTAATATATTTTTCATCGACTATATATATATATATATATACTCGCTATATGATTCATGAAATCATGAGGTACCGGCAATAAGATAGATCCAAAAATGTCGTAGAAAGTTTGTTGGCTCGTGATAGCCCATGGTAGAGGGTAAGAGAATAGTAGAGGAGGCGGATGAAGAAAATTCGTAAAAAGTACCAATTTATAGTACGAGGGATGTATTTATATTTGATTAAGAAAACGGATCGGCCTTTTATTAAACTGACGATCAAAACACGCGAACCAGTGATAACGTTAAATTTACTGTATCCAGATAAATGTACTGCGTGATGCTTTGAGTGCGTGAAATGGCGGGCTGATTTAAGGGCGTTTCAGAGAATTTCGATAGATTAATCAAGAGTAAGGGTGTCAATGGTAATTGGATGCAGAGTTCATGCGGCGTGCATATATGTATGTATATATATATATACGTTTATATGCATGTACACGTGTAAATATAAAATTACCCCAGAGACACCAGAAGTCCTTTGGGGAATTCGACCGACCCGGAAACGTAGAGATGGTTGTTGAAAATTTGTAACAGGATTTCGCAAGCTGTGGATAAGTGGGTTTGGCGAAAAGGTGTCAAATATCACGGCAGATAAATAAGGGTGGGTCAATGTTTGAAATTGAAATCAATGCCCACCCTCGGTCATCCCTTATTTCATTAGATGCTGGAATACTTCGATTTTATTATTCTTTATATTATTCGCGTATGTAGAGTTCGATGCGTGAGTTCTTTACCCGAATGGCTCAATATTTCAAGGTCACCCGGATCTGTCTTTTTCTTTTTTTTATGTTATATAGAATTGCGATAAATATACCTATTTTTCTTTATCTACCCCTTGTCTCCTGGCAAATGCTTATTCTCCACCTGTATATACCGCTTTCCATGGGAAAAGTGGATATGGAAAAGTTTTTAAAGCGCTTGCGCCCTTTTCCACGTCAAGTCACCCTCCGACCGGAGCTGCCACCACCCTGCTTGCTTTCAGTACTACTCGATAACCGACGGCAGTTTCAGTACCGCCACGGTACTCCGGATCTGCGGTTCAACCCTCCAGTTCGACTCGGTGAACCGTCCGAAGGAGTCGCACCTCTTGCAAGGGTGTCACGAGTTTCCGGAAGTAACCCTTCGAGACGATTAGAGCGAGAGAGCCATTTATTAAATAAAAAATTCTGAAAACGTCATACTAAAGAATTGAATGTGATAGAAAATATTTTTTTTTTAAAATCAGGAATCGGTAAAATATTTTTAATATTTTTTCCCCTTTTTTTTTTACTCACTCAGTTCGCACTATTCTTTTCCTTGAAGGATCGCGATGTACGCGTCGCGTGGAATTTCGTTGCCGTCGACGCGCGGCTGGATAAACGTTAAAGGATACGTGGCTGTTTTATGGTAAATTAAAAAAAATATAAAAATGGTGAAACGAATGACTTTTTTTTTTTCATTTATCAAGATTTTGTCGAATTTTTATTTTAATCCGGGATCGGATACACGGGCTCACTTTCGTTATTCGCGTCCCTCGGCTGACGGACGACCCTTGCGAATTTCGTGCTTGAAAGTTCGCTGGGAGCTTTAAACTTTCCAAGGAACTTGACGACGTCTTACCCTCGTCATGTGTCATTAGAGAATGAAAATACGCCCTTTTCAATGTCCTTGTATGTTTTTCACGTGGGAGATATTTTTTTCCTTCTTTCTTCAATGTCTCGCTTTTATCCCCTGCAGTCTAGGACCTATACTTGTTTCCGTATATTCAGGCGTTCTCGCATTTTGGGCCGCACGGGGGATCATGCCTTTGGTCGCGCACGAGAGGGGCTTTTGGGACTGGTGGGTTCCATGTGATGTAAGTGAAAGCTGGAAAAAGCAAATAGCAAGGCTTTCATAGGGAAAGGAGCGAAGCCGGTTTTGTTAGAATTTGGAATTTTTCAAAAATTCCACCCCTCCTTCGCTCTCGGTAAACTTCGTCGAACTTACGTCTCGACTTGGTTGAAATTAATTTTGTTCGCGCGGTATATCGGACTTTTAACTTCTTTTTTTTTTCCAGCAATTTTCCTCGTTTCTCTCCCGTGTCTCGTGCGATTTTAATTTTTGTGAAAACGGTGTAAAATGCCACTTCTATTTTTATGGGAAGAAACAGAGACGCTTACTTAAACTCCACGGACGTTGCTGGAGTTTAGAGAGGGTTGGTAAACTTGTACGACGGAATAAGTTTTAGCAAAGGAAACTGTGAGCGAAGATGAAATGAAATTTATTTCGGTATTCAGCGAGATTACTAATTTTCTCTTATTTTTGAAGAAATGCAATCGAATTATACGTTCCGAAACAAGGTTTGCTAAATTAATTTTTTTTTTCTTATTTCTCCCTTACGCCGGGAAAGCTCTCTCGATTCGGGCCAAGAGCTCGATGCTTCTTGGGGAGTGAGGAAACGTGTCGTTGACTATGACCAAGGGGAAGAAAAAAGTTAGGTAATAGCAAGAAAAGTAAAAATATAAATGAGGAAAAGCTGAAATAAGAAATTGAAGAGAAAAGGTTTATAAGAAAGGAACAAGTAGGATATAGGTAAGAAAATTTCGCGAACGAATGAAAATTCTATTAGGTATACTAGAATCGCGTTGACTTCGACACCTTTTTCTCTTTGAGTCACTCGAGCCCTCCCACCACCTTGACGCCCAAAAAAATGTTTAGTGATATCAAACAAAATTTCCAAAAAATCGTTCACTACATTTGTACGAGTAAATATTTAACAATCACCTAAACGGACGCCAGGCGTCGCTCGCCGTCGGATCAAAGTGCAAATGTAATAATTATTTAGCGAGGGCTCGTTTGTTCAATGGTCACCGTAAAGGTAACTAAAGAATAAAATATAAAAAGAAAAAGGTAAATTCTACCTGCTCGATTTCCGTGCAATTTAACGTTAAGCAGGCGGCGGCTTAAGTGACGTTTGGCAGAACGGCAAAAAAAGAGGTTTGGTTTTCTTTAAGGGTTGTACCGTTATAATTGCGTATTTGCCAGTTTGCGAATGTGAATTTTTTTTTCCTAATTTCCACCTAGAACGAGTGACTATTTATAACAGGCTGTAAAAAGTACCGAGCAAAGACGATAAGCTTTTTTCCCCCGTCACTCTCCCACTCATGTAAATTATGGACATGAAATACGAAATTTTCCAAGCGGTGGGGTAAAAGCTGAAAGTCGTTCTGGAGTGTATTATTCAGGGAAGGGATGAGCAATGTATTGAAGGGTGTAAATTGAGCGGAGTTTATTTATTCTACGGCATAGATAAAAACCAAGAGAAAATTAGCCTGTTCGTGGGGGGAAAAAAAAAAACAAAAGATCCATTTAACTATCTCTCTGAGCATCGAATGGGAGTTGGTCCTGGAAGATTCTGAATCGGGTTTGAATAAATATTGAAAGAGGATCGAAAGCAGAGTCACGAGTTTGAAGCATGAGAATTTCGGAAATGCCACTTTCATCAGGAAAATTCACGGTATCGTTAAGAATCAAAGGGGTCAGGTTAGCCAACAGCCACAAATGTGGCTTATGCCAACGAACGTACTAATTAATCCTTTGGTATATTTTACGAAAATTGCCAAGTACGTCATTTCCATTTGAATATCAGAATACACAGTGATACGGTATTTCATAATAATGATCACGCCGTATCAGATTTTCATCCGTAAGAAACGAATGACACGTATGCAGTGTGAAGATAAACTTCTTTAACAGAGAAATTCATTTCTCAGACCCTAATAAAGAAGAATCCGTAAAATCTTAACGACAGTTAATGTCTACAAAAATAATGGACACTAATGACAGTAATGGTGAAATTTTACCGGAAGTGTGTACAAGTACGAAATTTCTCTTACGGCATACACATATATATATATATACATATATACACTCGGTGCTCTCTCGTAAAAAGAATTTCGGAATGACGTGTCGATCGTAATCGACGAACCGTCTCGATATCTCGAAGGAGCAGGAATAACAGGTGCAAGAGGTGCTGGCTGCCATTTAAAGTGACGGCGAAGCACGTAGACAACCTATCCTCGAGGTAAGTTCAAACGGGGCAAATTAGTCACTTGAGAAATTACTCCCGCGGCTCTTGTTCTTCCCAATAGGAGAAAAGAAGTTCAGTCGGTTTCAAGTTGGTAAATGAGAGGAAGAGGAATGGCGGTTTATGTGGACCGAGAAGTAAAAGAGAAATAAAAGAGTGCCGGACATTATTGAAAGGAATTCATGGGCTGGTAGTTACTTATCGAGTCAATGAGTAATTACTGGCCTGTCGAAGAGAAACAACTAGCTCGTGCCGCCCAAACGTTTACAACGAACGACAGTCTCGTGAATATCGTGGCATGACGCACGCATATTTGTCATTGAAATTAGGTTGGTTGGAAAAAAAAAAAAATGAAAAAAGTACAAAAACAGGAAACGAACGTGAAGCCGTGGTCTAAAATGATAGTAATATTTCTTTCCGTACCGATACCACACGTGTTTGTTTTTCTTTTTTATAAGTGATTTTTATCAGGTGACTTTTTTATTAAATTTCTTTTCCTCGGATAATAATTTTGGTCTCGTGACGTGAAACTGCCGAGTTTTTAATTCCGTTTCGATAATCGAAAACGTGCCTGAGTCCTCGTGGCAAAATGTACGAGGAACTTGTGGAATGGAAAAACGTTGTCTTCTTGACATCTCGGACAAGGCAGCGAGTAGAGTCTTGTCAAAGTTTCTTAGGACTTGCGGTAACGGTGAGAACTTCGTTATAGAGGTTCGTTAAACGAAGTGAAAAACCGTGGGAATCGGGAGAAATGAAGAAAAGAAAGAAAAAGAGAACAAAAGACAAAGACAAAGAAAGTAGTGAAAAGTTGAGAGTATCTTCGTAGGAGCAACTCGGCTGAGAGACTCCGCCGTGAAAATTGCGAATGAACTGAAAAGTCGCGTTTGGCTTCGTGACGACCGAGACGAGCGATCGCCGCAATGAAGATCCGTCTTTACAAATCGGCGCGTTAAATTCACGTGAAAGCTGAAGAATTGCGAAAACCGATTGTCGCCTGTGCCATTGGCGAATTTAACTATAGGACTTCATTGTTTTCGTCACTAGCAATAAGAAAATCCCCGAACGGTCCAAGTGGTTGGAAAAGAGGAAAAGGGGAAAAGCTGAGAGAACGTCCTTTCGAATGAGCCATACTGGAAAATTCCTTTGTCCCCTAGGACTATAGCCAGTGACGTAATGATGAATCGATACGCAACCCAAGATACGTAACACGATACGTAATCTATTTGTCGCGTAAATAAATCACGTGGTCACGTATTCAAAATATATATATATATATATATATATAAATGAATAAATAATTTATATACTTAGGTAAACTAGGGAATTTTTTTTTTTTATTAAAAAACTCCATAAAAAGTATAAACGCATCGTTCTCCTTGGGATAAATCACGTGGTCACGTATTCAAAATTTGTCCCCTAGGACTATAGCCAGTGACGTAATGATGAATCGATACGCAACCCAAGATACGTAACACGATACGTAATCTATTTGTCGCGTAAATAAATCACGTGGTCACGTATTCAAAATATATATATATATATATATATATAAATGAATAAATAATTTATATACTTAGGTAAACTAGGGAATTTTTTTTTTTTATTAAAAAACTCCATAAAAAGTATAAACGCATCGTTCTCCTTGGGCCACATTTGGGAATCACGTAAATTTATGGGACTTTCGAAACTAAACTCGATCGCCCGAGCTCACGGAAGCCGAAGGATCCCAGGGCGTCGGCGTCGGCGTCGGCGTCGGCGTCGACGTCGACGTCGGAAGTATCCATTCCGCCAGAACGAAAGCTTTGATGGAAAAGCAAAGAGCGAGCCTATGGGAACCTTTGCAATATGGGGCGGAACGTCAGTTGCCATCGGCAATTTATAAGTGAGTGACGGGTCTGAGCTTTTTTATGTATACATATATATATCATCGGAATCACGTGGGACGAGAGGAAGGACACGCGAGGCTCAATATGGAATTTGAAGCTGTCTTTAAAGCGTTTACCTTCCCTCCCCTTCGCGCGCACGAGGGAGAAACTCTTGACGACTTCTTTCGGCAAGACCATTTTTTCCTATCAACCTCTACTACACAGTTTATTCTTTACGGAACTCATGCCTTATCGGACTTGGCTTGACTTGTTGTCCCTCTATACACGTATCTAACTTTTCTCTTATCTTTCAAATTTATAGGAATTCTTTAATTTTACCTCATTCTCAATTTTTACGTTTCAGCCTTGTCTTTTACGGTTATCGTGAAATTAGGGCCAGGAAAGTCTTTCTCTGGTACCTCAAGGCTTCCGGTGTTAAAGCGGTAGAAAGTTCAGACGATGAAAGTACATAGAGTATGATTACTCGGTGAGAAAGTAATGCCGGCTAGGAGAAGGAAGAGAAAGATGAAATTGGATCCCTAATGCCCATTATATTTCGTAGCAATATGGCGCACAGTCGGTCTCTTGAATTTATAATGGCAAACGCAACCGGTTTTCCGTGTATATCTATATATACTATATAGATATCCGCATAGAAGGACCGTAGTAACTTTTGTCTGGTTTTCTAGAAAATAAATACACCGAGAATGAGGTCTCGCGCGGACGTACTGCAGATAAGAAATAAAAGAAAGAAAGTCGAAGAAAGATTCGAAGATCTCTTGATCCGTTTACGTGTACCTAAGAACAGAGCGCAGTGGTCGAAGAGAAATCAAAGTATCCTCCCCTATTTTTATAAAAAGAAATTTACCATCGTCTTGGTTCTGACAAAAGGAAGTCCTGCCGACAGGAAGTCCTTTCATGACTCGGACCGGAAGTGCAGTCAGAATCTGTATTGCACCTATATGGCAGAACGAAGGAAATGACTGAAATTGCATTTGGCTACTTTTTGCAAGAGCCCTTCGATCGGGAGGCAGTCGATTCAAAATCTGAATTTGTAACGAGAGACAGTCCAATGTATAACCGTATACGTACATCTGAGGTGACGGTACTTTGCGACTTGATAAATTAAATGGCAGCTTTCACAGCGTGCAAAACCAGTACCGAGTCCTTGGTCCTTTTGGCAAAATTGCAAAACGTCCGCTGCTAATCGCACATTTTTTCGAGTTCTTTCACTTTAACGAGTCTCTACTGGTTTCGTGCTGGATTGCCTTTTTTTTATTTTACAGTTATCAAATTTTTATCACTTTCCTACGCGAGTCACGTGGTGCCGTGGATTTTGAAAGTGCGCAAAATTTAGCCAGATACATTGACCACTCAGCTGTATCTGCAGCGAGGATCATTGCGATTGGCATCTGGGACGTGGGTCCATGTGCCAAAGTTCTATTGTGTCTTGGTGCTTTTTTGAGAGAGAGATTTGATATACCGGTAAGCTTGCGGTTTGGGGGTTGCTTTAGGGCTTCGCTGAGAGGTTATTCAGGGGGTTGGTTGGCGGGTTGCCAAAGCCAACAAGTGTTTCGTTCGACCTGAAGCAAATATACAGCTGGTAGCAGCTGAGAAGCATTCGAATTGGTAGACCGTCGGCCAGTCTGGTCTGGAGTGAAAGTCTTAACGCTGATATGGGCTAGTTTCCACGCAGGTGGGTCTGTGTGTAGATACATGAAAAGCAACCCCTATATGCTACCTTGCTAGATTCCATATACCTTTGCTCCATCTTTTCTATAAAATTACCACGTAAATCTGCCGTTTGAATTTGAAATATTTAATGGGGAACCCTTATACATATATGTGAATTTACAGGTACTCCCACTATTATACTTTTGAAGAAACAAATCAATTTCATCAATGAGGACATTATTGAACAACTTAAATAAAATTAATTAGGGTTCATTATTATGTCTAATTAAAAAAATGTTCGCTTGAGCAGCGAATAAATTGTCCGTTTTAAATCTGAGGCCTCTCCCGCCAATTCGCCTGGGACAATGTCGTATCGATTAGTTCCAATTAAAATAACGAATTTTATTTTCGCCGATCTTTCCAATTCCCGCCTATCTGCGTGGCTGCAAGAGACGTCGGGATAAAGCAGAATTCGAGGGGCGAGAACGAATCGCGAATTGGCACGAATCGGACAGAGTTAATGGCGGTAAACAAAGAGTCATTTCAATTGAAAACAGATTACTCTCATATGTATTTGTGGCAAAAATTTTCTTTCCTCTTTTTGCTTTACCCGCATCTCGCCAATTCGAAATATTTACGATCATCGTCCCGCCAACGAAAATCAACGATTGATCGCTTGGACGATATTGCACGTCGGATAAAAAGAAGAAAAGTACTGATTATAATAAAACGGTCACGCTAAAAATTGCAATAGCCGTCAGAGCCAAGTCTTGTTAATTGAAAAGATAAGTCATTTCTCGTTAACGAAACGGCGAGGCGAAATGATATTTTTTTACGACAACCACCCTCTCGGGCCCTCTGGTTAATAAAATATAAAAACTGCTTAACACCTGCTCCCAATAAAGATACTTTGCTTATTACAACTAATGGCCAACCTTTAGCCTTTCAACTTATAATGCCACACTGCGGTCCAACAGACCCTATATATTATATTTTCCATATTTTTTTGTCCAACAGACTTTTCCATCAAACCACATGCAAACGTCTTAATACTACAGAAACACTTAATGCACACGTTCCCCATAGTGTCGTCTCGATCCATACATAACCGCATAAAAAAATATTAACAATTAACAAAGTCACAGCTGATCGACGGGGTCGGCTGGACCCCAAAGTAACGTTCTTGGGAGTAAAAATATCTACTATCTTTTCAATCTCAATAAGATATCTCAAAGATATCTCAATAAGAAGCTTGGCTTATTGCGCGTTACATGGTACTGGCACGCACCCAAGAAAACGTAGTAGGGTAATAATAAGTTTTACAGTGCTGCATTAAACCGGTAGTCATATTTATGACCTGTCGACAATTCTACATTACAGATAATGGGGATTCGAGAATGACATTCTACGTTAACAAGTGGATATAATTTTATGACGATTCGCTATCCACAGTATCCCCTATACGTGTAAATACAATGCCGAACACGTTTGATTCTTCCGCTGAAGTTTCTTATTCATTATTTTATCGTGCAATTAATATGATAATTTTATGGATTTCGCAGAGGCTAACGCCACGTGGTCGGGTCAATGCTCGAGGATGAGTATATCGAAATTACGAAGATGATGACGTGGGGATCCTTGAAGTCCAGGAGGTGAAGGGCCATGGAGGGTAACGTGAGCTACGTCGAGAACATCTCCACGGTGGTGGATTCTGCTCTGGTGGATGTCGCTGCCATCTTGACAGCAGTTGTCCTGGGACTTCTGATTCTCACCACCATTATAGGTGAGCGCTGCTGTTCCCTCGAAGTACGAACTTCCTTTGCGAGGATAGGGGCTGCTTGTAACCGCTGCTACCTGTAACGGACAACGTGTATATAAGTACAGGCGCCTGCGCATGGAGGCATAGGGCGCGTTGGACAAATATTAAATGTGGCGTCGCGACGCGGACGTCGCTCTTTTAAAATTACACGAAATTCGTCGACGCTTGGAAATCCTCTGGACTCTCCACTTGTTGCCGGCGGACAAAGCTCGTCGCATAGGCTATTGGCGGCCGCCGCGTGGATCGGTTAAAAATAGCCAATTTCTTTTATACGCGCTGGCAGCGCGGCGACGGAATTTATCAATGTCTCAATAATAGGAAACGAGTCGGTTGGTCGCAACGAAAGTGAAGGGGTGGAATTTTACAAATGGTTCGATACAAGTAAATCTGTGTTTCTTTATTGAACGTCATTGTTTTTTTTTGCAAATTCATAGTTTTATGTTATTTATTTTTCCCTTTTTTGTCTTTCGTTTATCGTCGGTAAAAAATATAATCATTCCTTATATGGCTGTTCTTTTTTCATCCCCTCCCCCTCCAGTTTCGGAATGTGTTTTTTTTTTTTTCTTTTTTTTTTCGGTGCAAATACAGAACGTCCTGCGTGCTTTGATTTTCGTTATGTTCATGTTCCACACTTACCCCCAATTTATCAATAGCTGCCTTTTTTCCGTGTCTCCTTTCAGTCTTCGTCCCGTTTCCGGTTTCACGTCGGTCCTAGAGTTTACTTAGCCTCGACCCTTTTACCGACTAAGGGTAGTTTTCGAAAGATGATCAGCGTCGACAGGAAGCGTCTGCTCCCCAATTTTGTCACAAGTCACGATACATAAAGTACCGTTTACACTGCAACTGAGAATTCAGGTGGATTTATCCACAGGGCATGAAATCCCTTATTTTTGAACCGAGGATAACTCGGCATCCCCTTGATATAAAAATGTCAACATTTTTTTCTTGTGCCAACAGTCAAGGTCTTACCCTAGATTTTGAAAAGTCGGCTCGAGGCTTATCCGAAAAAAGAAAAATCCCGACACCTGAAGGGTGTATCGCGAATTAAAAAATGTCTCCACCCCGAGGGTTAGAAAGCTCAAGAATTTCTTTTTTCCCTCCGCGTCAAAGCCACCCCATTCCCAGGCAGCATACCACCCGCGGAAAAGTTCCCTGGGCAATTTTTCATCCCTTCGCACCGAAACTACATCGGTATCCACCCTTCGCACTCTTTCACCCAAGTCCCAACCTCATCGGATGTACATATGAAATCTTACGAAACTTCATGTACCCAGTCGAACTGCCGAAATAGTTGGTTTGGCATTCGATAAATCGGCCGTTCTGCCCGATTAAATTCGGACTGTTTCTCGAATGCCAAATAGGGTGACTCGTAATACCTTTTCAGGCCTCCCAACAATTCTACAATATAATCAATCGGCAACGTTCGAACCCAAAGAATCCAAGGGTTTTCAATGAATGACCTTGCTAAATCCACAAACTGTTATGCACTTCCGTTCGAATGACGATATACATATATAATATAATATATAATATGTAAAAAAATCCACCAAAAATGCACTCTTCCCTTTCGACATTTCCTATCACGTATAAATCACGACGTGCCAATGAAAAACTTTGTCAGCTGCCAAAAATGTATCGATCTTTATTTTCGCTGTTGCGTAATTACCCCATGAACCTCCTTGGCGCCTTATCCCAATGCTGATGAGACTGGAATACCAGGCAACCCCTCTCTAAAGTCTAGAGCTATAAGCATAGCGGGTGATCAATTTAAGGCTGACACGTTTCCGTTGCACGTAATCTATCAACGACAATAACACCGATAACACCAACCCGCAGTCCGCACGAGACGCTTCCGTACACTTAGCCGTTGCTGTTTCACTGTTGCGAATAACGGCCCGATAAGATAATTGCCTCGCCATCAAATTACGTCTCCTCCGTTCGATTCAACCTTGTTTATCGAATCATTAGGAAATTCATGACTTTACGAATTACAATTTATTGCCAAGCATGACGGCCGAGCCAGATTTTTTTTAAGGATTTTCAATAACAAAGAGAGTCCCGATAATGGCTCAAGTCGAAAGAAAACTTCCATTCGACTCGTATCACTTTTCTTTCTTTCTTTCTTTCGATGCTCACTGACCCCTTGCACTTGACCTTTTTTCACCTTTTTCTTTAATCTCGATAAGAGACTTTTAATTATGGAAATTTAGGGGCTGTTGCTTTCGTGTCTCGAATCAGCAAGATTGCCGGAGGGGGGAGACAAAAAAGAATGATTACTCGAACAATTTGAGGTATTAAAGATTTTTTTTCGAAAGACGAGAAATTTTTGTGCTAGCCAGAAAGTTTGGTTAAGTTCTCGAAAGAAATTCAAGAAATATTTCTTCGCGATCATGATTAATGAAATTTCTCTAGATTTGCATATTAGGTAAGACCGTGTCGGCCGAAGATATTAAAGTCAGAACGATAACGTCGATGCGAATTCGCAGCGTTTTCGCAGTGAGAATATCTGCAAGTCGGTCACGTGAAATATTTTATTAAAGCAAGTAGGCGGTGATGGGGTAATGGCTCCGATATATCAGGGAATATATGTACGAATAAAGGGGGATCCAACGAGCCCGAAAAGAATATTATCCAAGAAGATGGATTCTAATCCCATAAGGAACTGCCACTGAGTAAGGGAAGAGGATATGGCTATTTGTTAACAAAATTTTCTTTCTAATATACAATCACAGACATTAATTTCGTTAGACCGTAGCGGGAAATTGAAACGTGTATTAAAAATATAAAAAAATGAAACCAACCCTTCCGACACTGCCCGCTACCGAGAGTGAGTGAAAATATGAAAAAAAAAGTCAATATCATCGGAAGTGACGTATCTGTCGAAGTTCCCACCCTTATTTAACAATGCTCGAAAGACACTTGAAACGCCTGACTGTTTATTCACAGCGACAAGTGGACTTGTGTCAAACAATGTACAGCGGAGGGTGGAGGAAATTATCATAGAATTGTTACACGTAGAAACTAGATTCTGGAAACGGATGAGTAAACCACGTGAAGGGGAATGAGATTAGTTGAACTTTTTTTCACGTGGATCAAACAATTGACGAGTCAAACGTTTTGTCGAATCGCGAAAATAAATAAATTCGATTTATTTTTCGAGGCAACAGTAACAGCTTCTCATTGTCCCTGATCGGTTGCAGCGGCTGGCTGGTTGACTAGGCTGCCTGAGTTGGGTGGCTGGGCTGACACGAATTTATAGATAGAGCTAATTCTTTGCATCCAACATGTTAGATAAAATGCGAAACGTGATTCTCATTCGCATGTGTATTTTCATTATTAAAAAAAAAAAAAAAAAAAAAAAAAACCAAACGATTAATAAAATCAGCCAAACTGTCTATTTCATTCTTATTTTTCTTCTATTATTCAGTATCGGCACGTTGCATATTTTTCTTTCCTTCTTCGTTTATCTTTCAGGAAATGTATTCGTGATAGCAGCTATTCTCCTCGAGAGGAATCTTCAATCGGTGGCAAATTATTTGATCGTCAGTCTGGCAGTTGCAGATCTTATGGTTGCCTGCCTGGTGATGCCACTCGGTGCCGTTTACGAGGTATGTCAAATTAATTTAATTTTTCTTTTAAAAGCAAATTTTCACAAAATTCAATTTCGAATCCAGAGCCATTAAAGGTATACCTGTATAGCCGTGTTCTTAGAAATCCGAATTTCTCGATTCACCATCGGAAGAAAATTGAGTTGGGGAAGCAGAAATTCCTTGTCTTAAAGTCAATCAAAAGTTATTCCCTTATAGGCTTTATGTGAATTTACTTGAAGGGCCAGTGCCCCACGCTTTCAACTTTAAATGCGTTTCTCGACCAACTTCACTTTTTTACAATTTTACACGACACTTTTACAACTTTAAGAACCCCTATCGCATCAGTCAGCTGTTAAATCCTTCTTCGTATATAAATATTTCAGGCATTTTTAAAACTTCCCGTCTTTCAGCTACTGTTACTTATTCCACTCTTACTTTCCTCCTCGCGTCCCTTTTACCTTATCAGATAAAACTCATAATAATAATAATCTCGAATATAATCATCGTACAATAAAAGAATACGTTAAAATTCAAAAACCTTTGACCTGCACGAGATACGTTTAATTGTTTAATAAATCTAAGCCAGAAGCATAAAAAAAGATGTAACGATTAACCAGAGTAAATTCGTCTATCAATAAAGTCCCAAAATATGCACGAGAATCCATATGAAAACTGAAAAAGATTCGAGCTAACAAATAGCATCGATGCCATATAGACACAATATTGGATTCATCCAATTTGAAAAGGATCAACGTGAAAATTCCTAACGGGTACCAATTCGAATTCCAATCAATTAAAAAATTATTTATCGAATATCGTATTTCCCTGATACATCGCAAGCAATTATATTATTTCCTAGCGTGGCAGCCCTTAAAATCAATTTTCCGGCTTAAAACGATACCATCGCTCAAAATTCTTCCTTTCGCGTAAATTTCATCATTTCCAACTGGTCCCGAGCACTCTGGATCCAGAAAGAAAATAATTAAAGCCTTCTAATGGGGTCGCGTAAGGTCGACACGGTAGTCACTGTGTAAACTGTAAAAAAAAAATTCCCCGGCATCCCCCCTATCGACCACCATCCACACTGATAAAGCCAGGAGGTACTTGCGATAAAGTTCCCTGTAATATGAAAAGTCGTATTTCACGTTAATCGATTGCCTGATAGGCGATAGCCCAACCCCCGTGCCCTAAAGCGTTATTTACGATTTTCATTTTTCTGACAATTTATTGGCAATCGTTAGTAACCACCGATCGAACAATTGCAACGCAGTCGATTAAATGTTACAAAAAAAAAAAAAAAATCCATCATCCCTCAACGACAAGACTGACAGACATAAAGTAGCGATAGGGTACTTAGAATTTTTCAATTTCCCAACTTTCAGCCCCAGGTATATTATACGATTACAGCGATAATTTGTTAGAAAAAAAAAAAATAGTTTCGCTCTTCGAAGATCAACAAAAGAAAATCTCATAGATCGCTCTTTCAAATGGCGCGTCACTCGCGGTCCTTGTGACTTTATTATTTGCAATTTATCTTCTTGATATTTTATTACCCGACAGATTCACGAGAGACTTTGAAACACAGGATGGTTCCTACGGTACCTACTCCCCTCCACCCTTTGGTCCACCTCAAGGCAATTTTATCTCCTCGACTTTTCGTCTCTCTCCTATCTTCTTCGTTCTTCCTTCATCTTTTCTTTCACACTGTTCAACGAGCATCGATTCTCTAAGGTTATCTTAGTTCCACCCCTCCCCCGCCGTACCCTCTCCTATAATCGCGAAGCCGCGAGTCCGTTGTCCTCCTCCCCTCTTCTGCCAGACCGTTTTCTACTTTCTTTTTTTCTCTTCATTTTCTCCACTGACAACCCTCATACGTTTGCCGTTCGGTTTCTCTGTGCCTCGCGGCAAACTGAGGCTTTCTCTTGTACATAGTCAGCTACATAGCATATACAGCTATACATAGCCATACATAACTGTTTCCGTAGAAAAAAAAACTTGTCGAAAGGATGAACGATGTGCAGGATGATGGACCATCGAAAATCCGAGCAAAGCTCACCAATCTCCGATTCTTCTTTATATTTACTTTTTTTCCTCCTTTTTCTTGATCTTCAAAAAAAAAAATTGGACCTGTCAATCCATCTTTCCATTCATTAATTTCTCGGTTTATCCGTCCGGCACAGTCAGCCGGTGTGTGCGATTAATAGTCGAATTTCGAATAAGCGATTCGCTCCTTATATCAATTGCATTGAGGATGCGGCTTTAGCCTTGGGCCGTTACCCGAGGACGACCGTAACTCCAAGTCGAAGCGTCGCTACGTGCAGTTTAAGATGCTGAGGTCGCCGGTGCTCGAGGCTGCCGATTGAAAGCAGCGGCCAATTAACGCGCTTGCGCAGGACGTCCTTGCGAGATAGCAGATGATAAAGACGGTCGTTCGTGTCACGAGGAAAGATCTGAGTGGGTTGAAAATAATCAAAGAAAAGAAAAGAAGAAGAAGAAAACGGAAGTAGAAACGAGTCTATTTGAGCGCGAGAGACGAAGGGAGGAAAAAAATAAAGGATTTCGTGCGAATGACGGGGTTGTTCATTTTTTTTCTTTCTCAGGTTGGTCCTCGCGTGGTTAACGATAAGAGGCCCAACTTGGGATAATTCTTCATCCGGGAAGGACTCGGTATCTTGTATCTTCGTGTCCTTGAGATCCTTGGCTCCTGGAATTCCTGGGGCAGCTTCCTCGTGTCCTGATCAGTGTGCTAAGGAGTGCGCATAGATTTTCCTCGGTGGAGGAAAGAACGGTGTGCACTGAGCCGTGAGGTCAATGAGAAAGAGAGAGAGAGAGAGAGAATGAGGGGAAGAACGAAAATAAGAGCGACGGAGAAGGGAAAGGCGATCAGGAATTTAGCGAGAGTGAGAACGATACCGATGGGCCACGGGACAAAAGGTAGGAGGTAAAAAATAAAGAAGGAAGGTTTGAAAGACAAAGGAAAGAAAAAGGAAGAAATGAAAAAAGAGTGAGAATTGCCCAGGCTGATATATGCCTGCTTGAAAGTCCATTCGCGGTATTGGAGTCCGTCAAGGGCGAGATGGGAGAGTCGGCCATCTTGGAAATACTTTGATTCTACGTCGATCTTCTCCCCTTGACTTTCTTATCAGCGAGACCGAAGACAAAAATTGTCGCATCGAAACATTTCCATTCCGAAATTTCCTCCATGCCCCTATAGTTCTTGCGCCCCCCCAATTATCGCTCGCGTAATCGTCTTGTCCGTGACGCACGTGGCACTTGGGCTTTAGAGAAAAAAAAAACAGAGAAACACTCTAATTGAATAATGCTAGGGGTAGTACGAAACATGTGCGAATTAACTTATTTAATTAGATAAGGAAAGAGTGTGATGTTCGTGAAGGGGGTAGGGAGGGGGGGGATACTGAAGCTAGCTGGTAACGGGCAGACAACGTCATTAAAGTTTCCTCTGCTTTATTCGTGAGGTTCGGTATACATATTCTCGTGAAAATTAGAATATGCTTGAGGGGTAACTTGGAAGTTACTGCCTACGAGTAGGTCGGTGGGAATTCGAATGGAGAGCGAGGCCAAATGAAAGGAGATAGGAGTAATGGACAGGGCTGATGAGAGACAAGGAAACACAGACTCTCTCAAAGTACCAGAGAGCTTGGTTACAAGTACAGTTAATAGGCAGTCCAATAACAGTGGATACTTGCGCGAAAAGGCTTGATACTAAATTGCCAATATTACTCGATACTAAGTACCAAAGACGTTCCAGACTCGAATACTTGTTTACCTCAAGCAAAAGTCATTATATCCGTAGAAGGAAGGAATCGATCGATTGGAAATGACTAGCGGATCTTTCGAACACGGTATAGCGAATTGAAGAAAAAATGAGAATTTTATAAAAAAATATACATATCAAAAAATTATATCCTGATCTATATAAAATTCTACCATGTTTTACCGTATAGTTTTTCAGATATAAAAAAATGTCTCAACTCATTCCAAGGAGATATCATCGAACTTCTTTACCTGCCTGATTAACCCGTGATTCTCCATTACCATTATGATTATTATCTGCGATCCGACTTATGGCTCATGCCAATTCAATGAAACGTGTACATACATACGTATCGGACATACAGCCCGTAATCCAGTAGGAAGTTAACGAGTACGATGGAGGCTGTGAATATGTTACGGAGGTAAGAGAGATGGTACGGATAGTCGGTAGTAGCCGGCAGCTAGTATCTACAAATATCAAGTAGTCGTGTACACGTAGGTAGATCGTAGCAGTACGCAGCGGAGCTGGAGGAAATGACGTTTCACTTCGGATATTGTCCCTATTTCCTGGTAACGGGCATCCAGCATCCCCTTACCACCCCTTTGCTCCTAAACTTCATCCCCTTTCCGCGAGCTAGTATGAGAATATATTTACGAGCTGCATAAGCCGTAAATTACCCCTAACCGGTACGAACCACTGGTATTGTCACACCCTTGTGTAAATTTCGTTAGAAACTATGCCCGCGTTGCCCGTGGTGTTTCGCCCTGTAGAAATGTCTGCCTTATATTATACGCAAAAGGAAGAAATGTAGGTAAGAGTACTTTGTTACGTAACGGCGAACGAAAATTCTGCGACCATTAAAACTCGATGAAAGTTAACGCGGAAAAATAGAATTTCTCGTACGATAAGGAGTCATTTCTTACGATTAGGAGAAACAGCGATTGCCTGCAAGAAAATCTTGATGAAGCAGGGGTGATTTTTCGACGTTACAAACTTAATGACGCGTCATCAGACAAAATCGATAGGTTGATGGAAGGTTGATGACGAAGCCATGTTAAGAGGTAAGGAAGAGCCGAGAGAGGACTTCAGCACTAAATGACGTATGCGCAGGGTCTAGGTATTGATTATAAATTAATCAGTCGTCTTAGTGACGGTACAAAATTTTGACACCTGTCATTCGATCAATTTACATCCAGCAACGTTAATCTGTACAAGCTGCTTATTGCTACTTAATCTGAATAATCTAATCGATCGGCTTAAACTAGTCGAACCCTTGTATAATTGGTATCACAATGGAGAGCACAGGAGCAGCATGCGTCGCTGATTAGTTAAGGACCAAAAGGGTGCCGTTTCTCGTGTGGAACTTGATTTCGTGGCCTTAATGGATTTGCGGACGGGACTTTTCTCCAACTCTCACCCTCTTGGTAATAACTTGGGAAAATTCGAAAATCGATTGGTGTACAGAAGAAAGAAGAGTCAGGAGTGTCAAGGAAGAAGACTATCAAGGAGATGAAAGGCAATCCCCAAACGTATATGAGATTCTAGATAGAGCTTGGTCCAGGCGAATTCGGATCTGCCCTTGGGTTTAGGGTTACGGTGCTCCAATCAGACTCCGTCAGAGCTGCTATTTAGGCCTCGTATATGCCTTGTAAATACCTGCTCGAACAGTCGACTATGTCAGAATACAAGATAATAGGGATTTTGTATTGTGTGAGAGAGAATGAACGAATGAATATGGAGAGAAAGAGAGAAAGGGAGAACAGTTAACTAGGGAACGACAGCGTGCATTCTCGTGCTAATCTAAATATGATCACCGAAGCTCCTGCTGCCAAGCAGTCCACCAGCCAGTCAGCCAACCAGTTTCCCTTAACATCCCCTTGAGAACCTCCGAGAATCCAGTAGGATATACATCTGTAAAACGTTGCTCCACAGCCATCCCCTAACTTTCATCCAGCATCCAGAGCCCCGGAATACGTCAGTACGCCTGGCGTCTTCTACGGGATTTATCCAAGAGTCGATCGGCGCTATTGTACGCATTTTTGAAAAGTTTCGCTTCACAAAATCCAACTGTTGGCCCATTCTTTGACTCCTGACATAGGTATTTCATGCGTAGCAGATTGATCTTAGGGAAGATGCATCTACGGCGCGAATCTAAAATGAAGTGCAATAATGTTTGATAATTAATTCTTAAAATTATTATTATTATTACTACCCCTGTCTGCCTCTTGGGTACTTGGCTACTTTGTACAGAGAATAACTGACAGTTCTAACTATACCTCTCATGACAGTGGACCAAACTCTTTGGAATAGTCAGAATAAGGATTCCATTGCAGAAATCATCTTCCACCTCTGACAGTTCTCCTTTCTTCAGCCTCTCGAGCTTCTTCATCTGCCATCTTGAATTACTCATTTGTCTCATTGAAGTAATGTCTCCTCGGCATTCCCTTTGTCACTAGCTTCGAAGATATGTATATACGCACACACGTTACACCTGCAGCCATGGGTAAGTATACCTATACCTATTGGCACAAAGCAGTACATATATGTATATTTATATAAAAGGAGCTGTGAGAATCTAGAACTAGAAGGAAAGTTCATTAGTACAGATACTGACCGCAATGTGCTAAATGAGTACTCGTAATTAGTACATAAAGCTGTATTTGTACTGTATACGGTGAAATTGATAGAATTCGTCAAATGGCTCCAACAGCTCTTATTCAAAGAAGAGCATTATCCTTTTACGGTTCTTCGGCACACGTACAGTTTGCGTGGCTCTGGTCGCCCAATTCGAAAGGTTCGAAATCAATCTGGAAAATATAAACTGCGAGATAAGGTAACTCGAGATAATTCTCTTGATTGCAGATTAACTCGAGATGGTCCCTTGGGCCTGAACTCTGTGACATGTGGACCATCAGTGACGTACTTTGCTGCACGGCCTCTATTCTACATCTGGTGGCCATTGCTGTCGACCGATATTGGGCTGTCACCGATCTCAACTATATACAGGTTAATTGTCCTCCATCTTGTCTCGTTCGTCGTGGAATTCGTGAATCGAATTCTCCAGTACGAGTATTCTCGACGCATTCGTTCGATGCCGCAGGATTTTGAAAGATCGTGGGCTTGATTGAGGGTGGGTGAGTGGAGCTGGGTCAGGGGTCAAGGAGAGAGAAAGATGCAAGATCTCCTCTTCGTGAAAGGGATGCGATGCTATCGGGGAATGTGATGCAATAAAGAGGGTTCGGTATTACACATTGGTGGCATAGCGAATTGCAAAAGAGATCTGATAGAATTTAATAATGGATATGCTTATATGTATGCTTTTCTTTACTAGCCACGGGTGCGGGATTCTTTTGCCTTTGTTCTGTTATCCAGATAAGCTTCTTTGTTTTTCAATATGAAGCTGCTATTCTGTTTTTCGTGGTTATTTGTAATATTGCTGGTGCCGATGATGCGATATTTTTCGATTAAACTTGAACGACGATACATTCCGGTGAGAATCCGTCGAAGAAAGGAGGGACGAAATAAAATGGTCGAGACTCGAGGCATATCGTATTGATTGTGCCTGTCGATAAGGATTTACGAGTTACGAGTGGACAGACTATAGTCAGGGATGATATTCCTCCCTATCACAGGCGAGAAATCCAAGGAGGATCGGAATCCTGGTGGTGGCTGTGTGGGTCGTATCCTTGGGAGTCTCACTGGCGCCTCAATTGGGTTGGAAGGATCCTGAATATTTAGATCGCATTGCGAATGGGACGTGTCTCTTGTCCCAAGATCCTGCGTATCAGGTGAGTTTATTCTGAAAATTATTTTATTGCCAAATTTTTTATTGGACTTCGTTTACTTCAACTGCGAAGCTTTAAGGGGAACTCGAAAAATTTGTTTCTTTTTCCAATTTCGACCAGTCCCTTTTACTTTAGCGACGTGTACCTTTCCTTTGAATAAAAAAAAGGTAAACTGATTTTCATCCCTGGAACAAGAGGCGAACGATAACGCAGGGGATCTCTTAAGAGGATATCTTAGGGGTGACTTTAGTGGATCCGAGCACATATGTAGATATATAATGTACAAACCGGTTTACATAAGATCGAGTGCGTCTTTCTGTATGTACGGTGAAACGAGGGAATGGTTCTTGATAATCCGAAGTATTGAATGTGAGCAGACACTGATCGAATTATCAGAACCCTCGACCTACGTCTGTTTCTCGACGATGCTCTTGAATCGATTCTGATCCAAGCGGCGTCGACGTCCTCGTACTCGTCTTCGCTTGAGAGCAGGAGCCGCGCTAAATTGGATTTTTGTTTGACATATTCGAAATCGAGTTTAACGTGACGCAGAGTGTCAAGAAATAGGCGACTGAACTTCAAAACTTTCCGAAGATTGTTTCCTGTCCTATGATAGTTAACAATGTACGTATATACATTTATCACTGATAGCACACACCCGATCATTTAACTTATGTCAACCTGTCACATATCAATCACAGGACAATACTTTTCACTCAGATTTTCGCTACTTGCGCAACATTCTACGTACCTTTGTTGGTCATCCTGTTTCTCTACTGGAGGATATTTCAAGCTGCCAGAAGGCGAATAAGAAAACGACCCGGTGCGACACTTCAGCCACCGCGAGAGAGAAGAGGAATTCTCAGGCTCGTTACAAGAAGGTTAATATATATTTGTATGCTAATTTATTTCTTGATTTGCTAAGTAGACGGAGAGAGCAATTAAATAATAATAAAGACGACTCACCAGGAACCCTTTTTCTCGTTGTAAATAAATGTACAGGCCTAGAGAGGAGTCCACAGCATTCACCATAACCAAATCAACGCCAGATCATTCCTCAGTTTCCCCAGAGAAGTCCTCGTCATACAACGGTGCGAATGCACCACAGGTGACATCTTCGGCGGCGTCCGCACCTGCCACGGTATCGTCCGTACCCGTTCAGTCTGGCTCGACAACGAAGAAAACACGCGAAACCATCGAGGCGAAACGCGAGAGAAAAGCCGCGAAAACATTGGCCATTATAACCGGAGCCTTTATAGCCTGTTGGCTGCCATTTTTCCTAGTCGCGCTCTTGCGGGCGGTCTGCGAACCTTGTGAGCCACCGGAGTTAGTCGCTAGTGTCTTCCTCTGGCTTGGATATTTCAACAGTACCTTGAACCCGGTGATTTATACGATATTTTCGCCGGAATTTCGACAAGCTTTTAAAAGAATGCTTTGCGGAGGTGCCAGAGCACCACGCTGACAATGGGTCTAACCGTCTAGGGGTGATAACAATGTGACAGACACGGGACACTAAAGGAATTCGCGAATTGATCGTGGATCTCGTGGGACATTATTTTGACAAGGAACTGACGAGGGATAAGGATGGCTGTGATATAGGCGTGGGAGAAAGTGAAAGAGAGAGAGAGAGAGAGAGAGAGAGGAAAGAATTTGTACAATGTCGACGCGAAAAATTGAAGATTCCTTTATGAGTACGTGCCAAGGAACGTTTTTCAAGGTCTGCGTTTCTTATTTAATAACGCCAGCATGATTCTCTTTCACGCGAAAAAGCTGGTTTCTGCGTTTTTACACGTCGGACGACACTTTTCATGCTTTCATAAAAGATTCTCAAATAATTTCAAAGCGTCCATGGTCCTTCTGTTTAGTCTCGAGTCGTCCTTGTCCCTTTGCTCCTTTCTTTTTGTTATTTTTACGATTTTCCAAATATCGTCAGAGTCCAATTCGATTTTTATCGCATGCCAAATAGACTCCGCTATACGTATTAACCAGGATTTCCGGATTCGGCAATCGTCATGAAATGGTAAGTCTTTTTTTCTTTTTTTTTCTTCTTTTTTTCTCTTTTCCCTTATATTTCCCAAGAGTCTCACGACAATTCGCAGTTCCAAATTATTGCCACGCATTGTTAAGGAACAAGGGAGGGCCTTTTGTTAGACACAATAATATTTTCTATATGTTTCTCAGTACATAGGAGCTTACAGATACAAAATCGAAATACACGATATACGCGATATAATATACTGTTCAACAGTTTCTATTTATCCTCCAAATATTTCCGTCTTTCGACTATTAATCTCAAACAACCCCAAGTGTCTGAAGCCCTTTTTCTCTTCCGATTCCTTCCCTTTTCCAACCCCCTAGGCGGTTCTATTAAAGATCAAGAAATGCGCGCTTCGTGCGAATCCACAGAGTAACGACAGAATCCCTGTGCAATTGACACGTTCTAACAATTGAAAATGATTCAAAATTTTTGAAAATGAACAAACCAATGCAAACAACTGTCTTTCACGTGATTTCGTCTGGTATTAATTATTACTTACTAGAAAGCAAGGTAACGGTGATCTGTCATACGGAATAGACTCGAGTGTCACGAATTGATCGAAATCAATTTGACCGAAAGGAAAGAAATATATTTATAGGTATATAAATGCGTGACGTCACGTTACGCAATGCTTTCGCTAGATTAATCACGATAAAGCTTCAAGTTTAATTAACCTCCATAACTGATTGATCGTCGATTCGACATTTTTCAACGTTGATCCGTGGATTCGTAATAAAAAAAAGTATATCTTTTAATGAATCGTAAAGCGCGAAGGGTTAAAGAATGTTTTATTAAGGATTTCAAGGTACTCAGGCGTAAGTAATAAAGATAAATAAAAATTAATAAGAAATATCCATCGACGAGTACGCCTATGTAATATACATATATACAATATAGGCAGAGAAGATTGAACAGACTCCATAGAACTAGACGCACGCAACAAGCGGTGTCTGATTTAACCAATCAACGGCGTATTGATAAAAGGACGTTAAACTTAGTTCGGAGATGCGCAGCTCCTAATTAAATTTGATGGAGATAAGAACCTCAGCGAGTTTCCAGAATCTTAATTCACGTCCCATCTCGTCCTTTCTACGCTATAACCAGTAAATCTTTTGTCTGTAGGCGCCTACGCACCGTTATACACTGTGCAATCTAGTATACAAGTAACCCATATGTCTCCGTAGATTCTCGAATAGGAAATTTTGTTCGTAAAAAAAAAAAAACTATCTAGACTCTATAACTTACTATGGTTACTCCTATAAACCCTATACACACTTCGATATATAACTCGTATCCGTTTAGCCTGTACTTGGCGCTTTACCACCATAAGCGAATTCAAAAGTTAATGCTGAAATTTTGGTGCTTGCCGGTTTTATCCTATTAGACTAGACGGTAGTAGTATCGTTGGTATCTATTATAAAAAAAAGTTACAGAAATATTGATATAACAAAAAAAATTGTAAAATCATCTATATTCCAGAATTTCTCGTGGAAAAAATTCTTGTATATACTTTTGTTGCATTTCACTTCGGTAAACAATGTTTACTCATTTTTTTTAAATTCATTTTTTCAATTTTGTAAATATCTCAAAAGCTTCCTGAACGAAGCGCTCTTTATTGATCACGCGAATGAAGGTCGATAAATTTGGTATTTAAAATCTTGAAATTACCAAAGGACGCCGCCACTCGGTGAACGTATATCAAGGTGCGTTTTACACGCGGTTTTATGTACCTATAGGTTATTACACAAGGATTCGGGATAATAATGTTAAAGCGGATTTCTGCGTGTCCTGTGTATATCGTAGATGGAGACACTGAAGCTGAGCCTCTGTAGTCGCGCTAGAATTCCTAGACTAATTGGACACTGACAGAAACGTGACACGTGCCGAGTGTCGTCTCGTGGTAAGTTGTCACTTTTTTAAACATATAATAAAATCCTAAAGAACGTCACTGAAAAAGGAATTTATTGGAATTAACGCGAGAGAATGTGTCAAACGGTGCGAATGAATTGTCGATATTATAATTAAGATCGAATTGTAGGAACGATAGTGTAAGGTGAATATATTTAGAAAAAAATATTTTTTTTCTAACAGAGTTCTACGAACTGGCCACCACTTTTTAATAATAAAATCTATATATTACGTGATCATTTAGATCCGCATGTTGTGTACAGTGGCTCGATCGTCGTTTGCTCAAAATCAATGTCGATTCCTTTTTTTGATCGACTTTCTTAGATAAATTTGAATTGGACAAATCATAAGTAGCTTTTCTTTCGCTCCTTTTCCTTGAATTGATTGAAAAAAAAAAGATGGTCTACCTGTCACTTGAGCCCCAGAGGTGACTGGTAGACGTTGAAATGTCAAGGATCAAGGATCGAAGGATCGATGATTTTAAACAGAGATATAGGTAGATCGTATGATTTTGAGCGTCTCAATTTTTGGATTAAAGAAGGTAAACGTGAGATATTAAAATGCAAGAATTACAAAAAAACCCTCTTTAACGTCGTACCATGAGAAAGGAGCTGTACCCCTTTTAATTAATTGATTTGCGATGGGTCCAAATCGATCATAAATTATTTAGAGTTTAATTATCGTCGTGACGTCAGGTACGAAATCGATTACCGATCCGATCGTTTTTCTCTGCGCTTCGACGATACACATATTCGGGTATACGGGGTGGCATGTGTGACCATTGGAAGAAGAAAATGGATCTCAATTGCACGTGCCAATTATCTAACGTATCTAACTCTAATCTTTAAGTATCGCATAAGTTTTCATAGTGCACTTGCAATATAGTTTAACAACGTGTTAGCCTGCTGATCGTCGCTGCGCCAGCAATTATTCACGGCAGTTCGAGACGCTCGAACATTTCCAGTGGGTCGTTGCGAGTTTTTCGATTGATAAAAAAAGATAAGACGAAAAAAAAAACAAACACGCCGACTCGCACCGATTTCGTTCGTTCCGAACTCCTTGTATATTCCTATTATAGTTTTTAGTGAGTACAGGTAACAGCTGTATGTGGTATAAAAAAAAGATTCGTCATTGTTCATATCTAAGGACGTTCATTAAATTTATGTGTATCTACCAGTGATATAAGTCCTTTAATTAAATAATTAATAATAATCCATATTGTCCTGATAGGCGATTACGTGAACGTCCATAGATATTAAATAATTAATAATTTTGTCTCCTCGCTAATTTAGTCCCTAAATTAATACGCTCATGTCACCTTGTTAATTAATAAGTCTTAAATGGATTGACGAGAGCGACCGATTTAAGGGGG